ATTTTTGGACTATATTTGTACTGGTAGTCAGTGACAAATTTTGTGAGTCGAAATTAGTATTGAATTGTCGTTTTGTGCATCTTACCGTGCATCGCACGGGGGAAAGACTAGTGTATACTACATGGGCACACAACCCAACAAACAAAACATGGATCTGATCCGTTGGACCCCCTAAATCTATTCGAAGGGCCAGGCTACGCCACCTACCAATTAATGAATATAGGAGTATAGATCCTCTTACTGCATCGAGTAATTAAAAATGAAAATTTCAAGAAAGGGTTAAATGCTGGATGGCTTTTAGCTTAATCTCAAATCAAATCAAATTGTTCCACTATCCGAAGAAAATGAACAGGGACCATTCCCTGCGCTACCCAAGAAAAGACATCACCTTAGAAGCAATTGAAGGGACACAAAAATAAAAATAAAAAAATGCTACGTGTACATAAAAGTTGACACATTAATTTACAATCATGTGAGCATATTTTGATATATTGATTTGAACGGTATATTTTTCAATCAACTGTCAAATTTTTTACATGTTTTAATCAATTTTTTTTAATATATTTTTAATTATTATCGAAAACCCAATTATTGGTGGGTCCACGTGGATTTGGATTAATGAGTAATTACCAAACTTTAAAAGTGTAAATTAGTTAGTGTAACAGTAGAAAATAGGAAAAGGTAAAGGAAGAAAAGTATGGACATTTATTGGAGCGCAGATGATCTGTTAGATGGAGTGGAGGTTACATGGGAATGTGAGTGCGACGTGCGCAGTTGCCAATGCAAAAAAATAAAAATAAAATAAAAGCAATAAATAAATAAATAGTGCGCAGTCACAGACTCACAGTGCACCGCGCCACCAAACATAAATCCATGTACTACGAACATACATATGTTTTGTGTAGGGCAGCATTTGGCCTTGCTTTACTCTTCCTCAATTATTTCATTTTCATCTACACCCGTAACAAAACTTTAATACCTTTTCTTCATCGCTTTTCCCTTTTCCTCTCTCTCTCTCTCTCTCTCTCTCTCTCTCTCGTTGATAGTAATTTGATTTAGACTGAAAAAAAAAAAAAAAATGTAAGTAATATGCTAACCTTTTAATAAACTGTTCAATCAATTATTTTTCAATAACGATAATATCTATTTTTTCTTAAATGGTCAATTAGTAAATCAGAAGTCAGAAAAACATGCCTCACTTCGAATGAAGAAGCCTTTTTGTTGTAGTTGCATTGTCTTTGAAAGTGATTTTTTTTAGATTACGTAGTTAAAAAATAAAGAAAAATTATAGAAAAATGTGAAATTTTATTTTTTCTTTCAAAAATATAAGTTTGGGGAAAAATTATTCAAACAAGGGCTAAATAGATGTGGCTATCGTGAAAATGTGTTTCACATCAAATGTTGAAACTCAAACTTCATTGAAATCATCCAAATTTTCATTAAGCGCTTGTTTGAAGTTGATTCGGTAATTTTGAGAAAAGTGATTTTTTATAAAAAAAAAATTAGCGTATAAAAAAAAGAAGTGGGAAAAAATGGTACAAATGAGGGCTAAATAGTTGTCATTGTCATGAATACACGTATTACATCGAATTTTTAACTTCATTTGAATTAATTTTGTATCGATAATAAAGTGTTAGGACCAACTTGCACTTTTGTTAAAAGTTAAAAACCTTAACAAAGTAGACGAGCCCGTGAAAAAATTTCATTGTATTATTCAAAATTGGTACAAATGGTATCTGACGTATAGCACTTAAGCGCAAATGGTCCATAATGTTGCATTCTTGGTTCTTACACCCTCAACCTATTGGTTTTATGTGATAATGTCATTTTGCATGGTTTCCATTAGGGATGGATATGGTTCCATTTAGTTCTGGTTCCCAGAGAACCAAATCGAATCAGGAACCAATAATTTTTTATATAATAAAATCAATGATTTTAAGTTTTTTAAAGAAATGGAACTAAACCGGAACTTGAACAATTAGATTATGGTTTGATTTAGTTTAATTATAATTCCATTACTTAGATTTTAAAATGATAAGTGCAAATTAAAATCTATCACCATGTGGTAGTTGTAGCGTAGGAGTACGAGTGAGTATCTAAAATTGAGAAGGGGATAAATGAATTAGAATTTAAATCTAGGGTTTGATCACTTTGTCTAAGAGGTAATAAGGTAAAATGTAATAGTAAATAAGCTTTTTGTCCATTTCACACTTGTAGCTTTTAAAGTTACATTCTACTTTTGTGTGTGTGTGTGTGTGATTAACTGATTTCTACAAGAAATATATATATATAAAATAAAATAAAATGAAGTTCAATTTTTGGTTCTGGTTCTAGTTAGTTTCGGAACTAGAACCAGAAATGGGATCAAATGAATCAAAATTATTAATTTTTTTTTTGTCGAATCGAATCGAATCGTACAGCTCAATTTGATTTGGTTTGATCATTTTATCCACACCTAATTTTCATCCATTCTTGTGTTAATAGTCTATCTATTTTAATAAAAAGACACTTATACCCTTTATCTGTTTATACACTTGCATGATTA